CTCACCCTCCTTTTGTGAATTGTTCCTCCTGCATTAACACAAACTTATCCCCCTGAGGCCCCTGTCTAATCTTTGCAGGTCCTGCTGTCACTTTGATCCCATACAGACAGTTCTTAGAAGAGACCAATACTCTGTATCTTTCTCCCACAAAGCAGTTGTGAATCCAATCTTCCAACTTGACTTTCAATTCGCTATTAAGCACTTAACCACTGCACCACCACAGCCCTTTTGTGTAAAGGGCAGCAGGGCATAAATGATGAGTTTGTCCTAAAATATTTTGTTATAAATGGTTTGGGTTTGGCTTTTTAAAAAAGAACTATAGATTACTGTCATTTCTAATGAAAAAATACTTTTGCTACTATAGGTGTGAAATCATCTCATTCCTTTTCTCCTTCTGAAACAGTAGCTTTTAAACTGGATTTTTATTAATACAGTGTTTTTTACCAAAGTAGATATTGTTTCAGAGCGCAGACTGGATGTAGTATATAAAGTTGTATCTCTGAAGTGTAAAAATTTACAGAGAAGATTTCCATAGGCTGCCTAAAACAGAAAGAAAAAAGATAAGCCTGTGAAATGCAAGGTGGCAGCATTCTCAAATACATAAATTAATATTTTCATATCTAATTATAACATGATGTCCAATTAATTCAGAAGTTGCATCCGTTTACTAGAATGTATTTGTGATTTCTTTATATTAGTTGCTATACCCTTGAGGCACAAGTTAGTTTGCATTATTTAGCGTGTGCTACCTTGTCCCAGAACTCTTGATTGTGCTTCTGTGAAACCTATACTTGGACCAGGAAGCAGTCATCAGAAAAGAGCAAGGAAACACAGCATAGTTCAAAATCAGAAAAGGTATATGCCAGGAATACATCCTATCATAAGATAGATGCAACAGATCATCCAGGAAGCTGGGCTCAATGAGGACGAATGTGGCAACAGGACTGGAGACAGACTCATCAACAACCTACGTTATGCAGATGAAACAACCTTGCTTGCTGAAACTGAAGAACTGAGGCATTTGCTGCAGAAGGCCAAGGGCTCTAGTCTTCAATATGGATTAGAGCTTAACATCAAGAAAAAAAGATTCAGATTCTCACCGCTGGACCAACTGGTAGTATCATAATAGAAAAGAGATTGAGATTGTAACAATTTCAGCTTGCTTGGCTCCACAATCAACAATCTTGGTACCAGCAGCCAGGAAATCAAAAGATGAATTGCATTCAGAAAATCTATTGTCAGGGACATCTCCAGAGTACTGAAGAGCAATGATGTCAGTCTAGAGACTAAGGTGCACCTGATCTCAACTACGGTGCACGGTCTTTGCAATTACTTGTTTTGTGTCAGAGAACTGGACAATGACTAAGGATGACAGAAGAACTGATACCTTCGAGTTGTACTGGAGGAGTGTTGAGTATACCATGGACTGCTAAAAGAAAAACAACTTCACCCTGGATAGGGTGAAACCAAGTTTCTTCTTGGAGGCAAGTATGTTGAAGCTCTGAAGGACATACTTTGGGCATGTTGCAAGGAGGTACCAGTCCTTGGAGAGGAACATCATGCTTGGAAGAGTGGAGGGAAAGTACAAGAGAGGAAGACCCTGGATGAGATAGATTGACTTAATGACTAGGGTAATGGGGTGGGTGTGTCAAAGACAAAGAAGCCAGCTCTAGATAAAGTGGGGTTCAGGACCAGCGTACATAGGTTCACTATGAGTCGCAAACAACTCAACAACAACAACCTTGTTATTATCATGGAACTACCTGGAAGCTTGTAGTATTCCTGAAGCTTAGAGCTTCAGAAAATAACCAGAGCCAGACACAGAGATTGCAAAGAGTCAACTGGTAGTGTTGTGAGCAGAGTATGAATAAACACAAAGATATGCATGAGGTTAAACCACTGACTGTGATTGGTTTTTTGGTTCTTGATTTTATTATGAAACCTGTTCCTTATTTTTAACTCCAGAGGATCTCATATTTCAAACCTGAGATGAACTAGAGATGAAATACTCTCTTCTTCTGTGTAAACTTCTGCCATTCTCCCAGAAAAATGAATGCTCCTTTTCTGGTGCTTCCATTGCCTTAATTTACCTATGTCCCCTACTTGCACCATGGCTGAGTGCTCAGATCCTAACTGAAAGGCTGCTGGTTCGATTCCACCCCACAGCTCCACGGGGAAATGACATTGTGGATTGCTTCCATTGAGATTTCAAGCAATAAAGCCCTGTGAGGCAGTTCTGCTCTGCCACTTGGGGTCACTGTGAGTCAAAATCATCTTGAGGCACCTAAAAACATCATCACCACAAAAGGAGTTGTAACCACAGCACATTTTCCTGCTCTTTCCTTTGGGGAGAGAATTGTTGTTTGTTATCCTCTATTGCAAATCATGGTGGTGTAAATGGCTCAACAAAGATCTTCTACCTGAACAGCTAACTATTTGAACTCACCCAGAGGCTCCTCGAAAGACAGGCCTGGCTATCGGCTTTGGAAAAGCCACAGCCTTGAAAACCCTGGGAAGCAATTATCCTTTCCACACACAAGGAGAGAAAAGACCATTTCTCTTCTGCTTATCTACCCAAACTTCTTGCCTCCATGGCCCTAAACAATTACACTTTGAGTGATTGCACCAACAGTTATATCAAATGCCTCTTTAAAAAGGGTCAGAGATGAGTACACAGCTGTTAAGTTCCAAACATGGCACGAATGAAGATTTCTCAGAATGAAATGAGGAAGATGCATTTCAGGGCACTTAGGTCTTTTAGAACCATTTGTAGAGATCATGCACTAAATTTTCAGCTCAAAATCCCTTCATCTTCGAAGACTTTGTAAGCTGGATCAGTGCCAAGAATGTCTTTTATAGCTGAGTTGTAAACCAGTGGAAAATAGGATTTCTACGTTCTGAGTTTGCTGGTATTACTTCTATTGCTCCTCCTGAAGATTACAACTCTTAAAAATGTTTATATGTAGTTAGCATTAAATGTCCGCTTTCCTCTGAACAAAGAAACAACTGTAGAGTGGGACAGTCTGCTCACTGAGGAGGGAGTGTGGCAGAAAAGGAGTATGAAATTGGGCCAGATCTCGCCTAACAGAGGGACCACACTTCTGCTGTTCTCCGTGTCCTATCTCACTTCCATTTGATTGATTAGGACCAGTGCTGATGACCGTCCATCCGGCCTCTGAGGCTCCAAATCTTAGCGGGAACAGACAGCCTCATCTTTCTTTCAAAGAGCAGCTGGTGAGCTCGAACTGCTGGGCTTTCAATTAACAGTCCAACACTTAACCCAATATACCACGAGAGCTCAGGGCCACTCTTTCAGGGCACTGGAAAGCCATGTGGAAGGCGCCTTGTGGTGCAGTGATTAAGTGCTTAGCTGCTAACCAAAAAGTTGACAGTTTGACCCCGCCATCTGATTTTGGGTGGAAAAAACCTGCACTTTGCTCCCATGGAGATTACTGCCTAGGAGACCCTATGAGGCAGTTCTGTTCTGCTCTATTGGGTTCCTATAGAGCTCTGGTGGCCTAGTGGTAAGGAATTGCACTAGCAACCTAATGGCACATGGTTCCAATCCACCAGCTGCTCCATGAGAGAAAGAGGGCCATTCTCCTCCCGTGAAATTTACTGCCTTTCAAAACACTGGAGGATCAACTGTGAGATGGTTTCGACTTAACAATACACAACAACAACATACATCATCAGCATGGACTCCACTGCACACATAACTCCTATTTACGAAATTGGCTGGTTCTTTGGGAGGTCATTTCTAACCAGTGTCTCCTTTGTTAATTGTCTTTTTACTACTTAAACTCTTAAACTTTCACCACGTGGAAAATGCCTAATTACTTTTGAAATAGCCAGGGCCTTTGAAATGGTCACTTCCTTCAGTGGACTCATATTCCCCAGCTCTCCATTTCTGAAGTAACTCGCTTGAGGGTGGAATTCTGCCTTACTCAGTTAATCTTCTTTTCAGATATTTTACCCCCCTGAGGGATTAACCTTTCATTTTTTTAACAGTGCTTTGAGCTTGGAGCAGGTAGATAAGAAGCCTTCTTTTGCCTAGAATTCTTCTACTATTTCTGAGAGCTGGTAGTGACCATTTAACAGCTAATCAATAACATGGTACATACCACAAGGGATTAGGAAGTCAAATGAGAGTGTGCATCACAATTCTGAATTAGTCACACTTGACTTTTAGAGCTTCTATTTCACCCTCTAAATCCAATAGTTAATATGTGCTGAAAGTCTCAGTTTTTCTGAGCATCTGAGAAACACAGAAGAAGTCTAACGTCATAGAATATATGCAATATGGCCACCATCGATGGACAGCAAGCCCAGCCCAATGAAGAGCAGCAGAGTCCTAGCACCAGGCTCTTTTTTCCTGCCATAGTTGGCCCAGTCCCATTCTTAGCATACCTTTGGCCTTAGAAGAGGAGGTTTGTTAACTCTTTATGCCTCACCTGCTTCAGCCTGTTAGATGCTTTTAGCAGGTGTGGGGCACCTCAGAAGAAAGGTCTGCCAATCTACTTCCCCAGCGTCAGACACTGGAATCCCTACAGTGTGCAATTCTACTGCAGCCTGCACGGGGTCGTTAGGAACTGGAACTAACTCAGCAGCGGTGGTGGTATTAGTAGGGACCTTGGCAGCTGCTGGCTCTGGTGGCCTAACTGCGCTGCCAACCCAAAGGCACGCAGTGCACGTCCATCAGCTCCTTCACGGGAGGTAGATGGGTAATCACCTCCCATGCGATTTACTGTCTCTGAAAGCCTGCTGGAGTGTCAGCCATGGGTCGGTTCTGATTCGAGGGTTCCTAACAAAAAAGAAATAACTAACACCACACCAGGCAAAGCCCGTTTAGGTGCCCCCCTCCCCGCGTCTGGATAGCCTTTCTGTTAGCTACTGCAGAGCCTGGCCAATTCTGTTCTTGAACCATCCCTCCGCTTCTAGAGTCTAAGTTGATCTTCTTTGTGCACTGGACTGACCATTCTTGTTTTCCTTTGTCACAGGAGGCCTGTGTCCAGGGTCCAACGACCCTTGTGTGGAGAAGCCGTGCCCAGGGGACATGCAGTGTGTGGGTTATGAAGCCAGCAGGAGGCCGTTCCTCTGCCAGTGTCCACCAGGGAAGCTCGGAGAGTGCTCAGGTGCAGAGGAGGGAGGTGTGACGGGGATCGCATTCTGTATTCCTGCAGCCTGTGCCCTTGGATAAATGATGCTGCCCGAGTCCTCTGTCTGCATGCAGCGTTTTCCTTCAGAATGATCCACAGCTAACCGCCACCCTCAGATCGCCGCTGTGGCCGTGCTAAGCAAACATGTAATGCCTGCGCCCCATGCAGAATGAGGAAACCGCACATGTATTTTTAATGGTGTCACTCACGTGGCTGTTACGAGTGTGAGATTATGGAAATAGCACACTGTTGGGCAGAGGAGTCGGTCATCTGTGCCACGGCCTTTGATCTTTCCAAATCCACAGCCACGTAGCAGAGAGCAACAGAGGGAAGGTAGGGCTGAGCCAGTCCTGTGATCCTTCTGTGGCACAAGCCAGGCCAGAGCAACAATTACGTGCAGGCTCTCCACTGAAGATGTGTCCTTAACTGTATGCTCCAGAATTAACCATGTGTTCGCCTTCTTTCAACTTTAATGTTTTAAAGAAGAAAAAGAAACAAAAACAAAACTCTGCTTATGTGATTTCAATCCAAATAATCTTCCATTCCTGGTCTTCCCTTGATTCCACTGTTTCCTGTCATTCCCGTGTTCTCTAAACTTCCTTTCTTTAAAAAGCATATTGTTCATTTTTGGTGCTACTAGAATTCCCTTTTTGTTGTTGTTGTTGTTGGCCTTCGAGTCAAGCACGACTCATAGCGACTCTGTGAACAAAAGGCCTGAAGCCTTTCTATAACTATCAACATTTATCAAAGCTCATAGAGTCTAATTAAAATTTGTTATAGAGTCTAATTAAAATTCAGACATACTGCTGCAGACTTCCAGATCCAAGAAAAATATTTATTGAGTGGTGATAATAATCATAATTGTGGTAGATAGTTTAAAGAATTATTATATTGAGTAAGTGCAAGGTACTTTGCTAAGCGTTAGGGTTTGAGAAAGCCAGCCCTTTTGGGGAGATTGAAGAAACACTGTTCTTTAAAAAAAAATAGATAGCTCTTTGATAGTTTCTTTCAAAAATGGAGCTACCCATAAAGCAAAGGAATCACCAGGATGTTTGCCTTTGAGGTCACCTAAGGTTTAGGTTTAGAAGATAATTGACAATTAAGCTGTCACCCTCCTTATACACAGTAGGGGGGTATGTGAGGTGGAATAGCGCCAAGCGTCCTCTCTTTTGATCTCCCTCCCTGCCAGTCTTCCTTCTCCTTTCTATGTTTAAAACTTCGGATGGTCTCTGACTATCATCCAATTGGGATACTTACATACTTTTCACCTTTTACCCCAGAAAGGCAACATGTCAGTTCCTACTTTGCTTATTAAAATAGAAAGTTGTACACAGGGGGAGAAAAAAAGAAAAAGGAAAGGGAAGGAATTCAGAATTAGGTACCATGGATATGACTAACGATTTGAGGAGGGGAATTTTCAAAGTCATGGCTAGAATGAGGAATTGTGATTCATTTTATGAATTTACTTTATATTAGTTGCTTTTTCCTGCCTCAGCATTTGTGCAAATGATACTAAAATCGGCTATTTGGAGTTAGGGTGCTTGAAGAATATAGATGTTTGATTTTTTGTTTGTTTGTTGTTTTTTTTTTTCAAAAATGGAATTTAAACAAGTTGAGGGTGGTTGCAGATGGGTATATTTTCATTAACATATCCTTGACATGAGACAACTAAGGTTTTCTAGCAGATGACTGGTTCATTTTTTTCACTCTGAAATTAAAATATGATATGAAATAGATAACCAGTATTTATTAAAACATGCCTTCATCGCAATACCTTCGTGCCATTCTGCACCTTGCTTGGGACTCATTGGATGATGTTGTGTGTCTCCACCAGCTTCTGGATGTTCTAAGTGTCTGTGTCTTTTTGTAATAATCCTTGCAGGGCATACGTCTCTCAGCTTTGCTGGAAACAGTTACATCAAGTACCGGCTTTCTGAAAACAGCAAAGAGGAAGACTTTAAGCTAGCACTACGTCTGCGAACTCTGCAGAGCAATGGGATTATAATGTACACCAGAGCGAATCCCTGCATAATTCTGAAGGTAATTAAAGTGGGTTATCTTTTCTTGCAGTCGGCTCTCATGTTAGTGGTTTGGCTCATGGACTGGGGCATGGATGTTGAAATCATTTTGCTTTGAAACTCCAAAGACCAAAATCAGACTTTAGGGTATAGGGGGAATGGCCGCAGAACTGGGAAGTATGCCAACACCCCATTTTCTGTCTGAACACCCAGCTTCAAAATTGGCGCTTGGTAGGCCAATCTCCCTCTAGAAAGTGTTCAAACTGCTGCCTGCCTTGGAGCTTAAATCACTCAACAGTTCATTAGAATGTATCTTCTGATCAGTTCCACTACAGGGGTGGTCTTTTAAAAGCATTGGCTGTTCTTCTAACTCATAGCTTACACCCATTGACCTCTGCAGACAACTTCTGTTCTTGCCTGGGAGACTGGGTATATGGAAGATTCCATATGGCCTTTCATAGCCAAATGAACCTGTTCTTTAAGCTTTCCACAACCTCTGAGAACCTTCTTTGTGCATGATTTTATTTTTTTAATACATTGAATGTTATGGGTATTTATTCCCACTTGATGGAGCAGAGGAAGTCCTAGAGTTCACAGAGACTGTGTGGCTTACAAGGTTGCATGGCTAATAAGCTACAAAGTCAACACTAGCAAACCTACTCCTGTCTAGTCAGTTGTGATTCATAGTGACCCTCTGTTAGGTAAATCTTTACAGAAAGAGATGGCCCATCCTTTCTCTTGCAGAGCAGCTGGTGGATTTGAACCACAGACCTTCAAATTTGCAGAGTAGCACATAAATCTCTAAAGTGCCCAGCGCTCTCTGGCTAGCCCTCCAGCCTCTCTCATTCTACTTGTAATCTGTTGCTCTCTCAAGCTCTCTTGCCTCTACAACGCCTCCTCCTAGCTCCACCAGATCTAGTGGTCACAGAACATCTTCAAAAAGCAAACACCAGTAAATTTAAAAAATATTAGTGTATTTCTCATTTTGTTGTTTGTGGTCGAATCAGTTTCTCATCACAGCAGCTCTATATAGCAGGTAGCACAGCCCCCAAAGGGTTTCCTAGGTTTCAGACTCTGTAATAGTCGATCACCAAGTGTTTTGCCCTGGTGCAGCTGTTAGTGGATTCTAACAGCCAACTTTTTAGTTGCAGCCAAGCACGTAACCATTATACCACCAGGGCACAAATACTTCCTATTAGTAAATTTCTCATGGAGTATTAAAGTTCAGAAAGAGGGACAAGTATTTGATCTGAATAATTTGATCCTATTTGGCAATTCACTAGCAAATGTCCAAAAGTATACAGATCCCCAGAGATAGAAAAATTATTAAACCTTTTAGGCAACCCTAGCTCCTAAGGTATATTGTATTTCATGAAACCAGCATGTTTCTATAAGTTGTGTAAAAGGAATCTCTCTGTACATGGAATTCTAATAAACTAGGATGCTTGCTGTTTGAGAGACCTATTCCATTAATCCTTTTGCGAGGTGAATAATCAGCTCCAATCTGTCTTTTCTGTAAGTTTGCTTTTCATATGTTGAGTTTGCCTAAAACAGGACACAGCTGTACTGAACTATTGCTCATATTCGCCTACAACCACTAGGAGTATCCACTTAGGCGATTTGAATCTGTTTGCTTAACATTTTCAGCCTCATGCAAGATTTCATTTCATTGGCTTTAGGTAGAATGCCTGCCTTATACTTTGGTTCAATGACTAAGCTGTGATACTTTGTTTAAATTGCACTTCTTGGTTGTTTATATTTTCTTAGTTAAAACATAGACTCTAAAAAAGTACTTAAGGCAGTAATGGGGTGAAGGACACCCCTTGAAGATAGTGAGCGAATTGCATAGCAACCTCAAAAAGTGAAAATGCTCAAGGACAAGGCGTGCAAATGTGTCTTAGCAGCAATAAAAGGCTCTGACTATTCTGTTGATCCACTGGTATTCTGGTTCCTCTAAGAGATTTGAAGCTTGCCATAAACACCTAGTTGTGATAAAATCAAAGCACCGTTGCTTGGAGAATAGACGTTTGAGAAGTGAGGAAAGGTGATTGATTATTGAAAAATTACAACCAAAAGGTACTTTATTTTAATACTGTGAGTTTCCTGGCAGACAAAGCAAGAATTAAAACAGTATAATAGGTTCTGCAGCTCTTCTCTCACTAAGAAGAATAATATTCCAGAATAACAAGTAAACTTTTTTTCCTCTATGTCAGTCTTTTCACTCCAATATTGTTACAAAATCTCAAGGAGCCCTTGGTTATATAAATCTAAAAATAGCACATGTTTGGTTTTGGAGGATTTTTAGATTTTTTAAGAAAAATGTAAATATATAGGTAACAAAACATTTTTCATTCCAGTACTCCTCAAATGTTCAGTGACTTAAACATATTATCATGATCACCAATCTCTAGTAACCATATCTGAATTTTGTCACCCTTAACAAAAGTTCAGTGCACCATGTATTAGCTTTTCAGGAAATTATAGATGGCACATTGCTTCATTTTGATAAGTGGCAATCTCGTGGCTAGCTTGAGGTCCTAGAACTAAAAAGACACCATGCAGGTAAAGATCACTTTGTTTGTAAAAAATACACTTGCAATGAACACATCTCTCCACAAAGATCAGGGAAATCATGAGAAACGTGTTCCCCACAAGATTCAGGAAACACAAAGGTCTCTGTAAGAATTACTGAGAAGTGAGTTTATTAATGACGCATTTTTTTAATAACAATTAGCTACCTCACACTTTATAAAACACTTACCCATGTACATATGTTTCCTCCTTATAAAGTGGATTTTGGTTTTGCCTATGAGAACGCTGAGTTCCAAGAAGCTCAGTGACTAGTCTAAGGTGGGAGCTAGTCAGCGGTGGGTATGGTCCCTAGCATAGGTGAGCAGACGGATGGACTACAGGAGCTTATCCAAAGACAAGATCTAGAGGGGTCAAATAATCATGTAGTCATTTAAAACATGTGTTAGAGCACTTGGTGAATGCCAGATAAATATTTTTTAAAACTCATTTTTTTAACTGTTGAAACTCAATTTTATTAAGTTAGAATATGCGTACAATAAGTTGTATTCATCTTAAGATTGCAACTGATAAATGTATATATTAATTATTATGTGCTGTAGAGTCAGAAGAATCAACCCATAGTTGACCCTCCAGTGGGTTTTCATAGAGTATAAATCACACCGGAGGAGATTGTCCATCTTTCTCCTGCAGAACACCTGGTGAATTCAAAGTGCATGATTTTGAGTTGGGAGCACATATGAAGCATGGTATATAATAACAACAAATTAATATAGCTATATAGATGTATAGACATATAGTTGTTGTGTGCTCTTGAGTCAGAACCAACCCATAGCTGACCCTCTAAAAGGTTTTCAAAGGCAGTAAATTGCATGGGAGAAGGTTTCCCATCCTTCATGTGTGTGTGTGTGTGTGTGTGTGTGTGTGTGTGTGTGTGTGTGTGTATGTGTGCATGTGTGTATATACATATCTCCCCCCTCACATGAGAGGAGGGTGCCCATCCTTCTACCACACATACACACACACGTATAGTTTTATATATTTGTGTGTGTGTGTGTGTATTAAACAACTGATAGAGATAGATATCAACCATTGCTATTAATATAAATCAGTAATCTATTATTGTTGAGATTTTCTATATAAAGTCAAGTTACTTGGAAGGGTGGAGGGACAGCACAGGAGAGGAAGACCCTGGATAAGATGGATTGACACAGTAACTGGGGTAATGGGAGGGAGGAGTGCTGAAGTCAGTGAGACTGGCTTAGGATAGGGTAGGGTTCTGAGCTGCTGTGTATAAGGTCACTATAAGTCACAGACGACTTGATGGCACATAACAATGACATAATCACTCACCACTCTGTGGCTTCCTACTCATAAGACCTTCCATTGGGTTTCTAGGGGGAGGAGATTGTTCTTCTTGATTGATTAGAACCACTAGAGTCCCAAGACCAAGGTTAGTAGCACAACACACTGTATGACTGGCCTACTAGAGCTCCATGTGTTTATGTATGCATATATAAAGCACATTTATGAAGACAACATTTCCCAAATGCAAAATCCAGATACATCATTTTAAATAATCATCTTTTTTCAAGAATTTTTAGTATCCTTCTTACAAGTTCCATGATTTTGGTATATTTGCTTCATCCAGTTAACAGGGATCTTAAACTTTGTTATAATTATACACTTATAAAAAAAAAAGAATCCTACATTCCTACAGTATGTCTTCCTACAGCTCTGATATCTCCCAAGCCCTGAGCCATTTAAGATCCAAGTGTAAACACATCGCTGATTTCAAAACCTGACACTGAATATTTTATCACATTACAACCACACTCTCAGAATTATGCATTTCATTGAACAAATTACCAGCCTTCCCCAAACACCCTGTTTTAGTATCATTGCTATTACAATGACTTTGTTATCATTTAAAGCTCGCTTCAATTTCTGGTAAAATAGTTTAACCTCTGAGTTGAGAAAGCTTTGTCCTCTTAAAAGGTAGGTACTTTAAAATGCTGTAAATGTCATTCTGAAGACAGAAGATCTCTGAACAGAGTTACCCACCCCATAAAATAATTGGATATGGATGAATCAAGTATCTTTTTCTCACTTTTGCATATTATTCACCTGCAGAATGACAACAGAGTATTAGTATTTTGCAAGATACTATTTGGTATTTATGTATATTATACAGTTGTTTCCTGTGTGTCTGCAAGTTGGACAGTAAATAAGGATGACGGAAGAAACAAAATCAATGCCTTTGATTTGTGGTATTGGAGAAGGGTCCTGGAAATTCCTCTAGGTCATATAGCTCTGGTCTGTCCACTTGTTGTACGGAGGTAACTCATGGTTGCTGTGAAGCTGAACACCGTGACACTGATGTGTCAAATGCGAGAATGTTTACCCATGGTGGACAGTGTTGGGTGGAGCTCCCCGATTCAAACAAGGTTGGAAGCAGGAGTGGCATCCACTTCCGAAATAAATAGCTTGCCT